TGAATCCCTCACTATCTACATCCTGGGGGTTACTATTGACCTGAAACTGAACTGGACTCACTATATAAACACAGTTGCTACAAGGGCGTGTCAGACCCTAGGAATCTCCAAAAGCCTGTCCACCATAAGGCATAAGTCAGGAACGTGATGGAATGCCTGGATGGGTGCAGCTCCAATAACACTCAAGAAGCTTGACACCATCCTGGACAAAGCAGCCTGATTGATTGGCACCACATCCAAAAACATCAACTCCCTCCACCACCATTGCTCAGAAGCAGCAGCGTGTACTAACTACAAGATGTACAACAGAAATTCACCAAAGATCCTTAGACATCACCTTCTACAACAACTTCCATCTAGAATGACAAGGGCAACAGATACATGGGAACACCACTTCATCCAATTCTCCTCCAAGACACTCACCATCCTGAATTGGAAATATATGATGTTCTTTCACTGTTGCTGGGTCAAAATCCTGGAATTGAATCCCCCACTATTAACCTTACAACCATGTGGGTCATCCTACAATATAGGGACTGCAGTGGTTCAGAGAGGCAGCTCATCACCACATTCTCATGGGTAACTACAGGCGTGCAATAAATTCTGGCCCAGTCAGCAACACTCACATCAAAATAAAAAGTGCCTGATTGGGATTAGTTCAGAAATGGCAGCATGGTTGGCATAGACTTGGTGGGCTGAAGGGGCGTGTTCCTCTGCTGGACTGTTCTATGTTCTTGGAGTGAATGGGGAGGTGATGAGGCCTCTGAGCAACAGCTACAAATGGTCTTCAGCAGCCCTTCCGAAGACTGTGACTTTCTCACCTTGAAATGGAAGGACAGCAGGTACATGGCACCACTGTTACTTTGGGTTCCCTCTAAACACAACACTATTATTCTAACACATTACTGTTTGTTCATCACTGAAACAGAATCTTGGAGCATTCCAAGTAACAGACCTGAACTATGACAAAGAGATAACAAGGTGTAGAGCTGGATGAACACAGCAGGCCAAGCAGCATCAGAGGAGCAGGAAGGCTGACCTTTCAGGCGTAGACCCTTCTTCAGAAATCCTGAACTATGCCTCATTCACTTCAGATATATAAGAAGAAAGTCTCCTCCTCAAGTTAACTACACATGCACAATGGATGCAGACTAGTCATCAGCAAGTCCATTTTTATTTTCATTGTACTAGAATGAAATTTCCACAGTCTTGTTACAGATCCTGTCTCACTTATTATTCTGTTTTTTGATGGTTGTTATACAACTGAATGGTTTGTGATGTCTTTTGGGGCGCATTTGCATTGTTGTAGACCTGACTCAGTACAGATGATGAGATCTATGTCTAAATCTCTACAGGTTACTTCATATATGAAACTTAATTTCACAACTTTAACATGATTTGGATTCTTAATGCCCCCATGAGGCTCATCCAGTCTCCTACCACTATGCTTCCATACCCAAAGGTCTGTAAATCTATTACTTTGTTTCTATTAGATTCCAAAACTTCTGTACGTTCCAACTACAGAGGTGAAGGGAATACCTTATATGAAAAGAAACATCCCTCAGCCTTTCTTTCCTTTATGTTTCAGCTGTGACATTCAGTGTCAACTGAATAGAAATAATTATTTGAAGCATTAAAAATCATTTTACGCCTGAAAGATGTTCAAACCTTTTGGTGCATTTTAGCAAGGTTTAACGTATTTTTCTAAGATTGTAAGAAGCACACGACATTTAGTAAGTGACCAGATTTGAAACTGAGTTCGATAAAAATAAAATTCAAACCTCAAGACCTGGATACATTCAGGTGCACAAAAAACTAATTTGAACATAACCAAGGGAAACAAAATATTTAAAGGAAGCACTTGACTGATATTTGACCCTATTAATTGTGCAAATATTTAATTGTGGATGTACCTCAAATACTTCAAATTTTACAGTTGCATCTATTACTATCATAATTTGTATAATGTAGATTGCAATGATAATGTAGATCCTTGAAAATACATTAAAATTATGTTGTGACTAATTGATTGGTATCATAATAACTTTAAATCAATACTTGACTTACCAATTTTTGGAAAGGTGGTTATTCATATTTAGACTTTTCAGCTTTTGTACAATTTTGAATTCGGAAAAACACATTTGTCTTCATATTAACATGGATGCATTTAGCCTGTGGAGAGACATTTTATTGAAAGGTAGAGAAGGAGTTTTCTGCTCTGCAGAAGGTGTCAAATGAAGACACTAGACTACACCTATGTAAGCATCAGTGGGCGATGCTAGAAAAAATTTAGCAGAATATATAATGCGTGGACAATTCAGTATCCTCTGTTTTGACCCATAATGATCTCTTTCACCTTCCCTGTCTGCAAAGTCAATGGAAGGCCATGATAAGGAGAATGTTAAGCTTTTATGTTTGTAATCTATTATAATATTAGCAATATAATTTGGAACATATCTCTTAGCTGATTCTTTCCACAACTCCATAGATACTAAATTAGTTATATCTGTAATTAAATAACATTAAATGATTTCAGTGAAGTTTACAATGTGAACAATTGACTACTTTAGAAACAAAGGTAATATTTTCAAATGTAAATAAACATAATGGATTATTTCAGTATGTTAATATGTTATAGCTGACTGAGTCGAAGCAGTTGTTAATTTTAAATCTGAGATGAAAACATTTTTCTTAAGTCAAGGTATTAAGGGAGGTGGGCCAAAGGAAGGTATATGGAGTTAGGCCACAGATCAGCCCTGGTCTCATTGAATGGCGAAACAGGCTTGAGGAGATTAATGGTCTCCTCCTGTTCCTATGAATCCAAAGTAAATTGGTCCATTGTCTGATTAGTAGCTGATATAATTGTCGTCTAATTCTGGGGAAAGCCTTTACCTCCTATTTTAATATCAGGATGTCAGTTGGACATGTGGCAATTCAATTTAAAATTTAGCTTTCAACCTGAATAAAGATTTTCTCAGGGAATTTTTCTGATATTGGATGACCCTATTTATTTATTGCAATTTTGGCTGATACCTCTTACAAAAAAAAAAATGACAGAATTGCCTGTATTGAGAATTTAAGTAAAATAAGTGGAAAATTTCAAACACTACTAAAATGTCTGTGGCTGTTTCGTGATACAGGAAGCATTCTCTCCATCACTAATAGCTGCAATGTTGTTTTGGGAATGTAAAATGGGAGATTTCCATCAGACAGAAAATCTAAAAATTCCTTCTCTTTAAAGGAAAAAAAAGGTTATTTCTGACTACACTTTTATTTGTGTAGTGATCTCCTTAGACTTGCTTCACCTTTAAGATTAGCTATTGTGTCTACAAAAGCATTGCCCTTCATTTACATGAGGCACTCACTTGTGAGGCATACAGCACCAGAGCACATGTAGATAGAATAGCTTATGGAAAAAAGCAAGGCATGCTTCTAAATTGGCTTTTCCAAAACTTGGGATGAATGTCCAAAAATTGGACTCATTGAGGCAACTGTCAAAGAGCTGCAATGGGGAATCATAGTTCCACTGTTAATAATTTCTGAAAAAGGGTTCCGACCCGAAACGTCAACTTTCCTGATCCTCTGATGCTGCTAGGCCTGCTGTGTTCCTCCAACTCCACACTGTGTTAATCTGACTCCAGCATCTGCAGTTCTTGCTATCTTCAATTGTTAATAAACTATTTGTTCAATGTTATTTTTGCAATCCGTTTTATGGGGTTAATATTTAAGCGGGTAGATATAGAGCATAATTCTATTTCTGACAATATCAATCCTTAAAAATAATCAAAATTCATAAGAATTGAAGAAATAACCTAATAGCTCAGCCTGGATTTTCATAGAAACTTACAAATAGTGTAGGGTAGACCATTTTAGCCCTTTGAACCTGCACCACCATTCAATAAGATCATGGCTAATCATGCAATTTCAGTATCCCATTCCTGCATTCTCTCCCTACCCCTTGATCCCTTAAGCCACAAGGGCCAGGTCCAGCTCCCTCTTGAATATATGTGATGAACTGGCCCCAACAGCTTCCTGTGGGAGAGAATTCCACAGGTTCAGAACTCTGGCGAAATTCTTCCTGATATCAGTCCTGAATGGCTTACCCATTATTTTTTGACTGTGACCCCTAACTCTGGACTTCCCCAACATTGAGAACATTCCTTCCACATCTAGCCTGTCCAGGCCCATCAAGGTTTTATATGTTTCTATGAGATCTCCCTTCATTCTTCTAAATTCCAACGAGTACAAGCCCAGTCGATCCAGTCATTTCACATATGTCAGTCCTACCATCCCGGGAATCAGTCTGGTGAATCTTCACTGGTCTCCCTCAATAGCAAGAATGTAGCAAGATGTACTGGGAGTCAGGAGAATTTCAGGCACAGGCCACCCATCTCAAATGAAAATGCCAGGAAAGACGGGATCGTCATTGTCAGGCTGCATTTGAGATAGGCTAATGAAGGAGGTCTCTCTGGGGCAAAGTTGGTGCTATGGGATTTTGTCCTGGTAATAAAAAAAGTAAGGCCATCTTGCCCTCACCCCTCAAACCCTCTACCCATTCTCCATGCCACTCCATTGCCTCTCAATCTGCCCACACATTATCCACACATTCACTGTGTGGTAGGTTATGGCAATCCAGCCACCCCTATTCAGGCTTTAGCTGATGTATGCCTATCCATCCACTTCACATTATATAGAAGCAGTGAGAAACCTTATTGTGACTGTAGGCTGCATTATTAGAAGCTTTTAAAGAGTGATTCATTTATTACTTTCCACCAGTGGGTAAAAATACTGACAAAATATATATGCATAAATACTTTTCAGAATTAATCTTAAAAAGTGGGATCTCATCCTAAAAATACATTAACAATGAAAATGTCAAAAACCAAATGTGACAGGATTTTATTGCTCCGTTTTAATACAAATAAAGTTAAGCAAGGTATTAATGCAATTTGTACCTTGTATCCTATTTATAAAATATTGACAGGTCCACTAGCACTAACATGGGAACCAGAGCATTATCACATGAAAGTATTTTTAGCCCAGAGGGCTCAACAGGCGATGGAGCAATGGCAAAAGTGACATCCGAGGAAAACCTCCCAGGAAAAGTGCGAATCCTTCAGGTGAGAGGTGCTGCAAGAACAAGCAGATTCCAAAATTGTATTGAGTGGAAGGCTGTGCTGTGGGTTGTGTGGTCCTGACCAGACCCAACATGTACAGCTTTTATTGCCTTTGTAATTGTAATGATTGCCACAAGCCAACTCCAATTTGAATTAGTTCAGACTCTTATTTACAAAAAAATGTTTTTAATTCTCTTTCTTAGAAAGTTCCTGTAGATAATTGTAAGGTGGGCATTGCTGCTCTACTAAGATTCTCACTTTCAATCTAATACATGCTGACTACTTTTACAAATTATACACACGAGGCCAAATTCTTACTTAATTGCTTTGCTGCTGTTGGCAAACTGCTAAGTGGAGCCATCAGTTACTTTCTCTCTGAACTTTGGCATAATTCGGGCACAAACTGTTGGTGTCTCTATGAGTGCCGATAAAAATCTTGCATGACCCATGTCTGAGCTTTGTTCGTGAGTGCAGGTTTGCAAAGTATTTTCAGTAACGACCAGCACCATTATACTCCAGAGAATATCTAAGGCAGACACAAAACTTGGAAACAGAGCAGTAATTTACTACTTATGGTCAACACATGTCCTTCTGTGGCCTTAGGCCTTATGTGGCTTGGTGGTTGTGTAGTTAGCACTGGTGCCTCACAGTGCCAGGGACACAGGTTTGATTCCGGCCTCAGGTGACTATCTGTGTGGAGTTTGCAGATTCTCCCTGTGTCTGCATGAGTTTCCTCCAGGTGCTCTGATTTCCTCCCACAGTCCAAAGATGTGCAGGTTAGGTGGATTGGCCATGCTGAATTTCCCGTAATGTCTAGGGATGTGCAGGTTAGGTTGATTAGCCATGGGAAATGCAGGTTAACAAGGGGGTTGGGGCTGGGTGGAATGGGCTTTGAAGGGTCAGTGTGGACTGAATAGGCCAAAAGGCTTGTCTCCACACTGTTGAGATTCTATGTAACAAGTGTGGAGGATTCCACGATTTGTGTCATTGGAGCCATGTAGGACTACGTGTGTAACTTACAGTCCCACAGTTTGTATCATTGCAGCTGTCTAGGACTGTGTGTGTAACTTACAGTCCCACATGGATTGCAGAGGCATTGGTATACGAGCCTGGATGCTCATTTTTCTACTGTTAGCACCATTTGAATAAAGTTTACGTATTTCCTAGGCCATCCATACAGAATCTGACCTTGTAATAACCTAGGTTAACCTGATCTTTCAGTGATATGAAATATTTTTAATGTTTATGTATAGAATTAAGAGGTCCCTGAGGATAATTTTCTATTTAATGCTGTAACAAACCTTGCAAGTTGGCACCCATTGTAGAAATCCCCTCTCCACTTCATCAAAATCAATACCTGTCATCATAACATCAGTGTTATACACCAGTACTGGGGTGAAAATGACCATCTCCCACCTTGCCCACACTCAGATTTGGAATTGGGAATTCATTATTACAGCTTTTCTAGCCCCAATCCTCCAGGCATCACAATACATGTTCGTGGTATGGCCAGTTATATGGGTCTTGGACTGTGTCAGGTTCAGGTTTCTGTAATAATCTACAACGAATAACTGGTTTATTATCAAAATTAAACTTTCTCAAGCAAAGATGCGAAGAGTATTGACAACAGTTGAATTTTGTAAAGGTATACAAAATTCTTGCAAGTATACACAAATCTGAAGAGAAACAAGGCCAAGGAGAGGAGTTGTAAAGAAAAGCAGAGAGTATGCTGGGCTGTTGCTTCTCAGACAGCTCTCAAATTCTCTCTCAGTGAGTTAAAAATGAGTGAGAATTATGCCACTCACAAACTGGGTCATGTGAGCTCTCTCTGAATGTTCTCCTGGCTGTGTGACACCATCCGAGCTCCCTGACCGCAGGTGTAACATGTTGTTGTTATATCAGTGCCCTTTCATTAACGAAGTGTCCTTTGCTTTAAACTTCACAATATATTTATATGCGTCCATATATTCTTTTGCAGACAATATTTGTATCACAGCTCTTCATAATGTCTCCATTCTTGGGAGAAATGAAATGTGGCTTAGATTCACTTTATTATATAAGCAAAACATAGGAAACATTTTAAAAAAAAAAAATCATGTATGCATCTGTTCACTCTTTAAGTCTAATTAATACAGCTTTACTTATTTGAGGGCACAGGTCATTTGGAACAATGTTCAATTCTGGACAAAGCATCAGTTATCGCTTTGTTTCTACATACAATGTGAACATTGCTGGGAAGGGTATAATGCCAGAGGCCAAGGTTCCAAGGACGAGGAAGGGCGAGGGAAGGCAGAGTGAAGAGCACAGCCCCTTCTGTAGTGTCCTGGGAGGAAACTGCCAAAGTTCCTGAGCGAGTGATTTCACCAACTAGCTGTCTCCTAGCACTGCCCTCTGTCCTTTTGAGTAGCATCTGGACTGAGCTGAAGATTCCCCTGTCCTGATTCCGTACCTTCAGTCCTGGGAACCAAGGCTGGGGTAATGGAGTGCACATCTGCAGCAGCTCTTGAGGCTGCTGGGTCTGACTCTCCATGGCAACCACTAACCTGTGCATGGATGCAGAGGTTCAATAACAAAGAGGTTCATCATGTCCCAGATGTCTGTCTCCTTCTGCATCCTGTGCATTTGGTACCTACTTACTTGGTGGGACTTGGACGTCTCTGCATCTCTGCAGGAGTGATCCTGGACTTCTCCTGCAAGAGGCAGGATTCTGTCCTCACAGCGGGTGAGGACACGGATGTTGGGTACCACCCCACCCTATGCCTTATTCTAGGCAGTCTTCTCCTGTCATGGGAAAAAAATGGGGGAAGTGAGGTAAAATGACAGAGAGTGCCATGGTGTTAACACTGGTGAGTGTAGGAAAAGGTGGTTAGGTGTCCCAAATGACTGCATGTGGAGGACATGCAGAGTTAGTGGTGTGGAAGGCTGAAGGGTAAAAGCCTCATGGTGGGAGGTGTATGTAATGACACTGCTAGAGGTGTTGGAGAGAAGAGTGTGGTATTTGGCAGAAAGGAGAAGGTCATTGACCATCTTACGACACAGCTTGCCATTCCTCCACACACTGCGGAGAAGATGCTGACCTGGGCGGTGACATGCTGTCTTGGTCTGGTGACATAACATCATCTGCTGATCCTCTGAGAAGAAGATGCCTCTTCTCTGGGTCAGCCCATCCACCAGGAGCTCCGGGACTCTGTCAGAGGAGCTTCTCCAACATGTTCAGACTCTGGCCTTGACCATGCAGGGCAGCTTCAGACTGCCAATGCTCAGCCCGGTGCACAACAGGTTGTTAAAGGTAGTCCAAGTGCAAGGAACACCAGTGTTTTGGTGGATATCCAATGAATGGCATAGAATAAGGTGAAGAAGAAATCAAATGTCAGAATACAGCATGATAGCAATAAATGAGGTGAGTTTGGTAAAACATCTCAGATCAAGCAACAATAAGAATATCTTGTATCTGTTCGTTATTTTCTTTATCAAGGAAAAAGCTTATATTCTGTAGACCACTGTAATTATATTTTCCTTTGCTACTACTTACGTGTTATTATTCATGAACTTGCTCCATTGTTTGTCTATGGCCTAATAGAAGTTATAAGACTACAGCTTTCTGAAGTCTAGGAGATCCCATGAGTGTTCAAAATATATTCAGTAAGCCAAATGCACTGCAGGGGTTTTTGTTAATCCCTATATTGTCAATTACTGTGAATATTTTAAAAATTTCATTACAAATATACTCTAATAGACCAACGAACAGGAATTTGACGCTTAACATGAGAGAAGTATATAAATTACAAGAAAGTAATAGCATGCTTCTAAATTATGGCATCTTTAAATTTGTGTATATCTCAGAGTCTGTTGGCCAGTTTTCTGGCTGTTCTACAGCTCAGGAAAGTTTCTGAATTTATGATTACGTATTCCTGTGACTCATTGGTATTGTTAACCTTTCACTCGGAGTAATTAGAGATTGAATTATTACCTGTATTCATTGCCTGAAAGATATGTGCAACTATTATCCCAGCAGCAACATATAATAGTGGCTTTTAGACACAAGAAAATACATCTTCAACTTGCACCCTGGGTATTGAACTGGCAAACTTGAACAGTTGCCCACTAAATAAGCAGCATGATTTTAAATGATTTATATTCTGGTTAACTATCCACAACACAGGTGGTAGATTTTTTCTTGATCTTTTCAAGCTCTAACCTTGCAAGTACTAGATGAGAGCAAGCTGGTTTGAAGACATCCGATGTGTTTATTTTTGTAATTTGGCATGTCTTATGCTTTAGTCTAAGGACCATTCAGTTTGAATCTTTAGGATAAATTTTAACTTCTGAGGTGGGCATCTCTAGTAGCAACATTTCCTGGCCTGGTACGCCACCCATCCCCACCCCACTTCACCATCGAGAAAGTGCTCTGAATAGATTTTCACACTAGATGAGGGTGTGAGATGGAATCAGACTCCCCCACCCCAAATACAGTTTGCAAATGACCAAAGAGACAGCTTGGTGCTAAGGCAGGCCATTAAAAGAGGCCTGGTTTAGTTCTATGAGATATCATTCCCACTGTTTTGTGGGAATTATATCACTTTCTAGCACTCACCCCTCACACCATTTGACCTACCAACCACTCTCAAATCTATGCTTTCCCACCCATCCCCTTGATACTTCGAGACATTATTGCCAACTCAATGTCAACTTTTAACAATCCATACCCAACACACCACCTTTTGCCTTTTACCCTCCCCCGCCCATGCCTACTCACTCAATATCCACCTTCGGCAGACCGCAGGTACCATACTGAAATGAAATAAAATAAAGTCCTAAATATTTATTATAGAGATCACTACATTAACCAGAATAAACAGGCATGTATTCACAACCCTGCATTAAAAGGCAACTATTCCTTTAATAACATCAGAGGAGCAGCAAAGCTGACATTTCGGATCTAGACCCTTCGGTCCCGACCCGAAACGTCAGCTTTCCTGCTCCTCTGATGTTGCTTGGCCTGCTGTGTTCCTCCCGCTCAACACCTTGTTATCTCAGATTCTCCAGCATCAGCAGTTCCTACTATCTCTATTCGTCTAATAACATCTTCGGGCTGTCAAACTGTGGGTTTACAAACCCCATCCCCACATTGCGATAATGATAGGTTGAGGAAAGTGGCCATCTATTAATAATGTTATAATTAAAACACTTAGGGTTATGTCAACAAGCAACTATTGAAACTGCCAGAACAGACTTTTCAATCCCACAAATATAGGCAGTTGTTAGCATTTCTTAAGGAGCAATCCATTAAAGTACCTTGATGCTTGATAGTTCTTACAGACCTTATCTGCCTGAAAAAGCATTGAAACTTCTCTAAAGATTCATAACTCCCACACTACTCCAGTGAAAATGTGATCTGAACACTGAAATAAAATGGCGCTACTAACTTTGGGTTTTCCACATGTGAGTAATGTCCTGACCCCTCCCCGTACCCCTTTCTCTGTTTTGCATGAAAATAGGATCTGTTAGAAATGGAGACTCAACTTCCAGAGCTGGGTCCCACCTGCTTCTTTCAAAGGTCCACACAATATCCATGACTTTGCAAACATCCAGTTCTCTACTTCAGATTAATCAATTCATTTTTTTCACGGTGTTCTTCTGCTGATTGACACTATACACTGAACTGTGGGGATATCTGGAATGCTGATTATAAGGAACTCAGCTCTGTCTCATCTTATAACTCAGAAATTCAACCGATTTTGAACCAGTCTCAGCAAACTTGTTTATGACTGTTGGTTACACTGAACAATGACGCATCTGAGATGATCAAGTTGTTATTTTAAATGCAATGTGGTTCCACTGAACATAGTGGAGGAGTTGTATCTGTAGCAGCTTTTGTACATGCTTTCTGCTGACATGTGAAACATACAGGAAATTAATTAACCAAATAATTTTGATATTGTACATTTTATTTAAATGTACAGCTTTTTAATCACTTGTGCAAGATTCTTTTCTGAAATAACTTTGTGTTTGCCTATAATATATATGCACTTTACTCATTCATTGTATTGTGTACCAAAATAGAGTATTTCATGTTTACAACTGTCCACTTTAGCACTTTCCAAGTAAGACCCTTTAGTCCAATGCTAGCTGAGCAAAGAGGATCTATTTACTTAACTGTACAATTATTTGTAATTCTGATTATCTGCTTCTTGGAAATAAGGTGGTATACAATAGGAGATCTTGGGTTTCTAAGGAGTCTTTATGAGTTGCTGCAGTGTATCTTGTAGATGGTACACACTGCTGTCACTGTGAGTCAGCTGAAGGAATTGAATATTTAAGTTGCAAGTCAAAGAGAGTGCATTGTCCTGGATGGTCTTGAGCTTCTTGAGTGTTGCTGGAGCTGGCCCTGTCCAGGAAATTGGACAGTATACCATCACAGCCCAGGCATATGCTGATGGTGAGTAGGATCTAGGGAGTGAGGATTTGTGTTACTTGCTGCAGACTTTCCAGCTACTGTTATTATACAGACTTTCTAATTCAGTTTCTGGTTGATGTTAATTTCCAACATGTTGACAGTGGGAATCAACAATGATAGTGTTATTGGATGTCAAGGAGAAATGGTTCAATTCTCTCTTGTTGGAGATGATCATTGTGAGGCACTGGTATACTTTGCCACCCTTCAGCCCAAGCCTGAATGCTGTCCAGATCTTACTGCTTGTTGTGGCACATACATCAAATGTCGTAGTCAGTATTATTACCCTGTCATTTGTTGGTTTGCAGCTGTTTACCTCTCTGAAAATTGATCCTTCACAGTTGGATATTCCAATAGGTTCAATAGAAGCGTCCAAAGATTTTTAAAATCTAGAATTTCCCCTCCTGGATAGAACAAAAAACCGTAAGTTATCAAAGTGTTTGATTTATAGTTTCAGGTAAATTGCTACCATACCTTTTTGGTCAAAAGGGCTGTGTATACATTGCTACAAGTGGTGTATCAAGGGAGCCAATGGAAGAAGGTGGCTTTGTTAAATGTAATTTGTCACCTTGGTACTTTAAGGGACTGATGATTGAGAAGAGTGTACCTAGGTCAAGGGCTCACTTTAGCAGGTAAGTACAGAATAATCAGCATGTAATGAGTGATTTTATTGAGATTAATTCTTATTTTCTATGAACTGACACCAAAGAATTTGAAACGCTAGAGATTAGAAATTTATTTACATTTTGTTCTATTTCTTAGAATCAACTGGCAAAAAATATCAAATTTGGCCAGCACCCCCTGATTCTCACTGGGAAAAGAATGGAAGATACTGGAGCCAATTCAGAGGTTGATCGATTTCTTCGCAGTCCATTGCAACAACCTGTTCTGCAGGAAAGCAAATTACCAGCCTCAACCACTAAGGTGAGTGATCAATCATCACTAGATTTTGCCTGTAAATCTAACGCTTTGTACAAAATTGGCTGTGAGTCTCACTTTCAGAAGGAGGGCTGGACATTTGTGGGCTAGTGTTACATCACTTTTTTATTCTTTTGAAATTGACGGTTTCTGATAATGAGTCGGCAGATTTGTCATTAAAAGCCCACAAAGAAAAGGTCTAATTAGAAAGCTTTGCTTTGTTTGATTGGATCAATGAAGCATAATTCAGAACATGTATATTGTGAAAAGAGAAATTTCAGTGAAGCTGTTTACAGTTGTGGTAGTTAATTAAATTAGACCCTTCATGATTAAAGGGACATTTGCTTCATGAGAAGTAGTTTGTGACTTTTTTCTTTGTTTACAAACCTGGTGTGGAATTTTTGCTTCCTGGAGCAGCGTGGGAAATGGAGAGAAAGTTGAGAAAAGACACTGAGAATGAAAAATAAGTCTCAACTACAACTTTGAAAAAGACGTTTGCGATTTTGCCTTTAAACTTTGAATGGTAACTTCAGTATTTTGGTATTGAGGGATGACTACCTTATTTCCATTACACGTTGCTAATTGCTGAACTTGTCTTGTTTGTATGGCTCTCCCGAGAAACTTGTCAGTGCCACAATTGGCGTGCTCACTCCAATCGCCATGCACAGAACATCAGAGTGGTTGCACACTCAAACAGCCACACAGCTTAGAGGGAACATTCGCATACACCTACCTCATGCATCTACACAGGATACATCTTATGGTCCATGGCTTGCTTTCTTCGCACTTGTACTCTTTCTGTTTACTAGGAGGTTGCCAGACTCTGTGTCTGCTTTTTATTATACAGGGTCTTTAGTGCTAAGTTATGGAATAGCAGCCTCTGTAGCCTGCGTTGTCTTTCAGTGTAGACAGCAGGCAGCTTGTCTGTAGTGGGGAGTCCAGGAGATAGGCGTGTCATTGTATGGTGCTGGGCTACGTTAGTATCACACCTGCAGTACACAGCAAAGCTTTTGTGGCAAGCACACTGTTTATGCTTCAAGCAAATGGCCATTCAAAAGGGAGCACACCTTAGTGGGGCAAAGGACCTACGGTCTGTCAAAGGGTGCCACCACACTCAGTCAAGGTATTCCTTCAATTCCAGTCCAGGGGTTGACACGGTCAGTCAAGAGATTGGCCTACCAGAGACTGGGCGTCTGTGTCCTTGCTGTTCCCTGACTGGGCCACTGTCATAATGGCAGGTCAAGTGCAACCAATATGGGAATCACATGTCAGCTTGTTGGGTTGATGTGGAGGCATCAGTTTGGAGAATGATGGGCTATTTGTTTCCTGGTCAGAAGTCACACAACACTAGATTACAATCCAACAGGTTTATTTGAAATCTCAAGCTTTTGGAGTGCTGCTCCTTTGTCGGTAGAAGTGAAGAGAAACATACAGGCACAGTATTTATAGGCAGAGATCAAAAGATCCTACAAATGGTATGAGTGGATTTTTTTCCTACAATGAGACAAAGAAATGGATTGAGCATTATGGATGAGTGTGGAGCAGCAGTTAGTGGTGATGCAGGTGGGTTGTGGTGAGGTGTCTAGCATGAGTTAGTAGGAAGCTTGGGGTGGCATGGTGGCTCAGTGGTTAGCACTGCTGCCTCACAGTGCCAGGGACCCAGGTTCAATTCCACCCTCAGGTGACTGGCTGTCCGGGTGCTCCGGTTTCCTCCCACAGTCCAAAGATGTGCAGGCTAGGTGGATTGACCATGCTAAATTGCCCGTTGTGTTCAGGGATGTGTAGATTAGGGGGATGGGTCTTGGTGGGATGCTTCAAGGGTCAGTGTGGACTTGTTGGGCCAAAGGGCCTGTTTCCACACTGTAGGGATTCTCTGAGGGCAGAAAATATTACTAGTTTAGGAGAATGAGATGGGCGAGATCAGTTGAATAGGCATTGTGATGTAAGATGTGTGATTTATATATCATTTATGTTTAGACTTTGAACTAATGGTATGTGGGTTTGCTCTGTGTTTCTGAAGTGTCTGAACTTGTGGGTATTTCTGTAGCCATAGTGATTTCTTTTTTTTGAAACAGTTTGACAGAGATAGTTCAGGGAGCCTAATGAAAATTAGTTTACATTGGGAGAATTTACAAGCAAACAAAGTAAACAAGGTGGTGCATTGGGCTTTCAGGTAGAAGATTCTGGAATTGTTTCTTTGGGCTTATAGGAAGCACCCATGGTTTTGGGGGAGGGAATACAGCTTTTTAGCTTCAGTGAGAAGTTTGCAGAAGTCTTAGCTGAAGCTGCATGTGCAAACAAGAATTAGGGGTCAATTTAGCTCAGTTGACTGACAGCTTTTATGCGATGCAGAATGATGCCAACAGTATGGGCTTAATTCCAGCATCAGCTGACTTCCTTCTCAACCTTTCCCCTCGCCTGAGGCATGGTGACCCTCAGGTTAAACCAATACTAATTGTCTCTCTCTCTCTCTCTCTCCCCCCCTCTCTCTCTCAAATGAGAGAACAGCCTGTGGTCTGGTAAGATTATAATGGCTTTGCATTTACCTAAGAAACAGAGGTAGTTTTAGGACTATTAAGAAAAGGATAATGTCACCTTAGTTTATAAGTTCCAGACCACAAATATTTAATTAATATTGGTTTAAACCCCTGAAAGGATCATTTGAAGATGAGAAAATCTAAGCCTGGTTCCATAAACAGTCCAAGAAGAGGCTATCAGTCTTAAATCCAGGAATTTTTGCCACAGTTAAATTAAGCTAAATTAATGTAATCTCTACAGATGTGGAAGAGAAGGGAATTCTGTCTGGTGTGAATATACTATAAAGGAGTGCTTTGGGGATTAATGAAGTAGTATTTAATGTGTGTTTTGAAATTTTAAAATTGTGTTATATATAAATAATTTGATTTATGTTATTTTATCTTCATCGCTTTTGCATTATTTTCTGTTTTATTGTTAAGGCCAAATAGATGTACAGGACGGAAATAGACCCTTCGGTCCAACTCGTCCATGCCAACCAGATATTCTAGATAAATCTAGTCCCATTTGCCAGCATTTGGCCCATATCTCTGTAAATCCTTCCTATTCACATATGCCTTTTAAATGCTGTAATTGAACCAGCCTCCACCACTTCCTCTGGCAGCTCATCTTTACAAAATAAACAGTAAGGTTACACTTTAAAAAGCCACTTAGCTGCTCCCCTGCTGTGAGCTCTCCTACACAGGGTTCTCCAAGGTCAGCTGTGAATTTTTTTGTTTGTTAATTTTTCTTAGACGAACTCCGATGTCCAGAGATACTTGAAAATCAAACAGTAGAGATCTGCAGTATTGTGTACCTGTATTACAAACATTACTGTCTGGCGATTGTTGCGTGGTGTCCATTCATCAGTTGTCATAGTGTCTGCATGGTTTTGCCAATATACCATGCCTTGGGGCATCCTTGCCTGCAGCGTATGAGGTCGACAACATCGGCCGAGTCACATGAGTATCTGCTGTGCACGTGGTGGGTGGTATTCCCATGTGTTACAGTAGTATCCATATGATGATCTGACATGTCTTGTAGAGCTTTCCATTGGCAGGTTCGTGTGGTTTTGTGGTCAAATGATGGTCTGTTTAAGTTTGAAGGTGAGAAGTGGAGGCATAGGGATGATCTTGGCAAGATGTTCATTGTCATCAATGACATGTTGAAGTCTGCAAAGAACATGGCGTAGTTTCTCCACTCCAGGGAAGTACTGGATGACAAAGGGTACTCTATCAGTTGTGTCCTGGGACTGTCTTCTGAGGAGGTCATTGTGGTTTTTCACTGTGGCACTTTGGAACTGGCAATTGATGAGTTGAGCATCGTATCCCGTTCTTATGAGGGTGTCTTTCAGCATCTTTAGGTGTCCGCCCCAGTCCAAAATTGGCACCTCCACATCTATGCTCTCTCGTTTTGTACTCCCCTACCTTGGGGAAAAGACCTTGGCTATTCACCTTATCTATGCCCCTCATTAATTTATAAACCTTTATAAGGTCACACCTCAGCCTCCTATGTTCCAGGAAAAGGTCCTAGCCTGTATAGCCACTCCTTATAACTTAAACGCTCCAGTCTCGGTAACATCCTTGTTAAGTCTGTTTTGTGTCCTTTCTAGTTAAATAACATCCTTCCTATAACAGGGCCAGAATTGTACTCCAAATATGGCCTTACAGATGTCTCATGTAACATGTCCCAACTCCACTGCTCTGAACGATGAAGGCAAACGTACCAAATGCCTTCTTCACTATCCTGACTACCTTAAGGATAAAAAGATTTTAAGATTCTGATGCTTCTATTTCTTGTAACTAACCAGAAGAAAATCTTTGAAGTGACAATTAGAAATTAGTAAGTAGGAGGCAAATTACATGAGAACAGACAATCAGGTAGATTTTGCAACAAATTCACACTGCACAACAGGACTGAGAGACAAATGGGATTAGAAGCTGGACTCTGTAGTGCATCATTTTATGCACTGCAGGTGCCAATTTATGTCCAAAATTGCAGCCACAATATGAGCAATACTGGGCTTGCAGAACAAGATTTTATAAATGCCAAACAGAACATGTCCTTTTGCCACTGAAATATGAGAGTCAAGAACTGTATGCATCAACTATTTCTCTTGCCAATGACCAGCAATAATACTGATTGGCTTGACGAAAACCAACAACATACAACATGCAGTTCAAACATGTTGAGTACTGACCATCACAACTTCTGGTTCTGAGATCGCTGACCATACCCCCAACTCCAAAATCCAGGAGACCACTTTTCCCAAATCTGGATCTGATCCTCACACGTAGTCCAGAAAACCCAGCCAATGCCAACAGCACTTCCTATACCCAACTTGAAACTCCCAACAATTTTTCCCTGAACCCCAATTAACCTTGGATCATGCATCTGAGGCCCAACCTTCTGCAGACCCCTGTGATCTTATTTCATTCCTTTCCTGAGCATTGATAGACAAACCTGTGTGGGTTCCTACCCCGTGGTATCTCTCTGATATTCAGGTCTAAGGTCCAAAATTCCAGCATCCTTAGATCTCCTCATTTTCCTCCTGCCTGTTTATACTCTGTGGGCAGGCTGCCCAAACATGAGCACTACTGAATTTCTGTGCTCCAATATATGCAGATATAGATTTTAAAACTGACATCATTAATAGTATATTTTATCAGTATGCTAAACATCATATAAGCAACTATTAGAATCATTATTCCTGGAGTGCATTCTTGAAATTAATCCCAATTCCATGGCAGTCATTCAATGTTTTCTGTTTCACAGGGGTCAATGTTGGGGCCGCAATTATTCCATTTATACATTAACGATCTGGAAGAAGGAACAGAGGGCATTGTTGTAAAGTTTGCAGATGACACAAAGATAGATGAAAGGACAGAAACTGGACTCTGCACAGTAAGGAAGCAGAGAGGCTGCGGAAGGACTTGCACAGACTAGGAGCATGGGCAAAGAAGTAGCTGATGGAATTCAATGTCAGTAAGTCTGAGACTTTGACAGGAAGAATAGATGCACAGATTAGTTTCTAAATGGGAAAAGGCTGAAGCACAAAGGGATTTAGGAGTCCCAGTTCAGGATTCTCTTAAGGTTAACATGCAGGTTCAGTTGTCAGTTAGGAAGGCAAATGCAGTCTTCAAGAGAGCTAAGATACAAGAGCAGAAATGCAGTGCTGAAGCTGTATAACACTCTGGCCAGACTGCATTCTGAATATTATGAGCAACTTTGGGACCTGTATATATGGAAGGATATGCTGGTATTGAATGGTCCTGGGGATGAAGGGTTTGTCATGTGAGGGGCAGTTGAGGACTCTGGCTCAGTACTCAGTGGAGTTTAGAGGGATATGGGGGGAATCTGATTGAAATTTACAGAATACTGAGAGGCCTGAATAGAGTGGACATGAAGATGATGTTTCCACTAGTAGGAGAGACTAGGACCCAAGTGCACAGCCTCAGAGTGGAAGAATGACTTTAGAACTGAGATGAGGAGGAACTTTTTCAGTCAGAGAGTGGTGAATCTGTGGAACTCATTGCCACAGAAGGCAGTGGAGGGCATGTCATTGAGTGTATTTAATACAGAGATAGATAGGTTCTTGATTGGTAAGGGGATCAAGGGTTATGGGGAGAAGGCAGAAGAATTGAGTTGAGAAACATATCAGCCATGACTGAATGTGGAACAGATTTGATGGCTGAATGGCATTATTTTGCACCTATTTCTTATGGTCTTATAGACTGTATGGAATGATAGGAAGATCAGGTGAACTGAATATTGCTGCCTATTTACAAATTTAGCCTTGGACATGAAATTAGTATGCATTTCAAAGGTACAAAAGACTTTTTGTTACATTTGTTTAATGTCAACATTTTCCATTCAGATTTGAGTAGCTTTCTCCTTATTTTATCTTCCATAATTATGTTCACTTTTATAATCATCAGCATTTTTTAATCCATCCTTCCATTTCATTTTCCCTTATGCAGTCCAATGACCCATCCAATTGTCTAAGCTCCTTGAGTTTAGATGAAACAGAAGTTGAAGCAGAAGAGCAGGTAACAAAATTTTACATCACTAAAAAATGATCAGTTTACTTACAACATGCAAGCTGAGAATTAAATGTACAAAATAACAATAATGACAAAATTAGATACAGAACTGGCTTGATGGTAGAAGACAGAGGGTGGTGGTGGAGGGTTGCTTTCCAGACTGGAGGCCTGTGACCAGCTGTGTGCTAAGGATTAGTGCTGGGTAAACTGCTTTTTGTCATTTATATAAATGATTTGGATGTGAACATAGGAGGTATGGTTAGTAAGTTTGCAGATGACACCAAAATTTGTGGTCTGGTGGACAGCAAAGAAGGTTACCTCAGAGTACAATGGGAAGTTGATCAGATGGGCCAATAGGCCACGAAGTGGCAGATGGAGTTTAATGTAGATAAATGTGAGGTGCTGCATTTTGGAAAGGCAAATCAGGGCAGGACTTATACACTTAATGGTAAGGTCCTGGGGAGTATTGCTGAACAAAGAGACCTTGGAGTGCAGGTTCATAGTTCCTTGAGAGTGGAGTTGCAGGTAAACAGGATAAAGAAGAAGGTGTTTGGTACGCTTGCCTTTATTGGTGAGTGCATTGAGTATAGAAGTTGGGAGGTCATGTGGCGGCTATACAGGACATTGGTTAGGCTACTTTTGGAATACAGTGTTCAATTCTGGTCTCCCTGCTGCAGGAAGGATGTTGTGAAACTTGCAAGGGTTCAGAAAAAAATTTACAAGAATGTTGCCAGGGTTGGAGAGTTTGAGCTACAGGGAGAGGCTAAATAGGCTGGGGCTATTTACCCTGGAGCATCAGAGGCTGAGAGGTGATCTTATAGAGATTTTTTAAATCATGAGGGGCATGGATAGGGTAAATAGAAAAGGTCTTTTCCCCAGAATGGGGTAATCCAAAACTAGAGCGTATTGGTTTAAGGTGAGAGGGAAAAGATTTAGAAGGGACCTAAGGGGCAACTTTTTCACGCAGAGGGAGATGCGTGTATGGAATGAGCTGCCAGAAGAAGTGGTAGAGGCTGGTACAATTGTTACATTTAAAAGACATCTGAATTGGTATGAGGATAGGAAGGGTTTAAAGGGATATGGGCCAAATGCTGGCAAATGGGACTAAGTTAGATTGGCATATCTGGTTGGCATCGACCAGTTGGACCAGAGGGTCTGTTTCCATGCTGTACGGGTCTATGACTCTGTTTTACAATATCTATACAGTCTTCAGTCTGATATTCCAGATAGAATAAGATTAATTATATCATAATCTAGTACTGTACACCAGTTCTTAATCATAAACAGTAAGTGTTGGAAACACACAGCAAGTTAAACACAGCTGCCAGCATGTTCACTCCTGAATTAGGTAGAGGCGACAGGAAATTTCTCAGTTTGCCACACCTGCCTTGGGAGAAAGTATTCAAGTAGCAGGCTGAATGAGTTTGTTTTTATATTCATTCACAGGATTTTGAGTGTTACAGACGATGTTAGCGTTTATTGCCCAGTTAAGGGAGCAGTAAAGGGTCAACCACATTGGAGTCATACGTAGATTAGACAAAGCAGTTTCATTCCCTAAAGGACATTAGTGAACCAGATGTTTTTTTTTCTGACAATTGGCAGTGGTTTCAATGTCCTCAGTAGACTTTTAATTCCATGTTTTTATTGATTTGAAATTCCACCATCTGCCAAGCCAGGATTTTAACCTGCCTCCCCAGGATATTATCTGGGTTTCTGAATTAGTGATACCACTAAACCAGTGCTTAATGTCAGCATTCACATAAGCGGAATGGAGGACAGACAAATCTAGGAGGTCACAGTGGCTGCCAAGTGCTGAGGTGGATGTTAAAAAGGCCTTGATTCTCTAAAATAAGAGATAACAAGGTGTAGAGCTGGATGAACACAGCAGGCCAGGCAGCATCAGAGGAGCAGGAAAGTTGACATTTCAGGTCTGGACCCTTCTTCAGAAATTGACGAGGGGAAGGGGACTCAAATAAATAGAGGGGGGGGAGGCAGATGGAAGGTGGATAAAGGAGCAGATAGGTAGAGAGGAGACAGACAGGTCAAAGAGGTGGGGATGGAGCCAGTAAAGGTGAGTGTAGGTGGGGAGTTAGGATGGGGGTTGGTCAGTCCAGGGAAGATGGACAAGGAGGCAGGGATGAGGCTGGTAGGTAGGAGGTGGGGGTGGTGGTTGAGGTTGGAGGAGCGGATAGGTGGGAGAAAAGACGGACAGGTCAGGGAGGTGGAGACGAGCTGGGCTGGTTTTGGGATGCGGTGAGGGTTGGGGAGATTTTGAAGCTTGTGAAGTCCACAATGAGAGCATTGAGCTGCAGGGTTGCCAAGCGAAATATGAGGTGCTGTTCTGGCAACCTTCGGGTGGCATTGTTGTGGCACTGGAGGAGGCCCAGGATGGACATGTCGTCCAAGGAGTGGGAGGGGAAGTTGAAATGGTTCGTGACTGGGAGGTGCAGTCGTTTGTCGCGAACCGAGCATAGGTGTTCCACAAAGTGGTCTCCAAGCCTCTGCTTGGTTTCCCTGATATAGATGAGGCCACATCGGGAACAACGGATACAATATACCACATTAGCAGATGTGCAGGTGAACATCTGTTTAATGTGGAAGGTTTTCTTGGGACCTGGGATGGGGGTGAGGGGGGAGGTGTAGGGGCAGGTATAGCACTTTCTGCGGTTGCAGGGAAAAGTGCCAGGGGTGGTGGGGCTAGTGGGGAATGTGGAGCGGACAAGGGCGTCACGGAGAGAGCGGTCTCTCCGGAAGGCAGATAAGGGTGGGGAGGGAAAAATGTCCTTGGTAGTGGGGTCAGATTGCAGGTGGCGGAAGTGGCGGAGGATGATGCGTTGGATCCAGAGGTTTGTGGGGTAGTACGTGAGGAAGAGTGGGATTCTGATTTGTTGTTATTGCGGGGAGGGGGTGTGAGGGATGAGTTGCGGGAAACGCAAGAGATGCGGTCGAGGGCGTTTTCGACCACTGTGGAGGGGAAGTTGTGGTCCTTGAAAAACGAGGACATCTGGGATGTCCGGGAGTGAAATGCCTCATCGCGGGAGCAGATGCGGCGGAGGCGAAGGAATTGGGAATAGGGGATGGCCTTTTTGCAGGAAGGTGTGTGAGAGGAGGTGTATTCTATGTAGCTGTGGGAGTCGGTAGGTTTGATTCTCTAAAACTTTGTTCCAGTGGTTTCTTTTAATACCCTTTTACACCTCTTCAACAATCCCACCCTCTCACCGTACCCATATGTGTCAAAGTGCCCAGTATCCAACTTAGGTCAATCAGAGAAGCTATGCTCAGATAGTCATAGTATGGAAACAGACATTTCAGTCTAGCTCATCCACGCTGACCAGGCATTCCAGGCTGACTTAGTCCCATGTGCCAGCATTTGGCCCTTATCCCTCTAAACCCTTCCTGTTCGTATACTTATCCAGATGCCTTTTAAATGTTGCAATTGTACCTGCCTCCACCATTTCATCTGGCATCTCATTCTATACACACACCTCTCTCTGTGTGAAAAAGTTGCCCCTTAGGCCCCTTTTAAATTTTTCCCCTCTCACCTTAAACTTACGCCCTCTAGTTTTGGATTACCCCACCCTGGGGAAAAGACCTTGTCTATTCACCCTATCCATGCCCCTCATGATTTAAAAAGTCTCTATGAGGCCATCTCTCAGCCTCCGATGCTCCAGGGAAAATAACCCCAGTCTATTTAGCCTCTTCCTGTAGCTCAAACTCTTCAACCCTAGCAACATTCTTGTAAATTTTTTTCTGAACCCTTGCAAGTTTCACAACATCCTTCCTACAGCAGGGAGACCAGAATTGAACACTGTATTCCAAAAGTGGCCTAACCAATTTCCTGTATAGCCATAACATGACGCCCCAAGTCCTATACTCAATGCAATGACTAATAAAGGCAAGCATACCAAATCCCTTCTTCACTATCCTGTTTACCTGCGACTCTACTCTCCAGGAACTATGAACCTGCACCCCAAGGTCTCTTTGTTCAGCAACACTCCCCAGGACCTTACCATTAAATGTATAAGTCCTGCCCTGATTTGCCTTTCCAAAATGCAGCACCTCACATTTATCTAAAACAAAACCTCCATTCATGAAAGCCCAATCAAACTGTTTAAATCCTCTTAAGTACTTAGGCTCATATCAAAACAATCACATTTGTATTCATAACCTCATATTGAAGACAACCAATGCATTAAAACACCTCTCTGAGCTATAAACAAAACAGCAAAACAGTGCACTTATACTCCTCCCTGCCACGTCCACCCCTCCCACCACCACCAGAACCTCCACCAGTACCTCCACTGCGAGATTGTGGAAGACAGCTAAGCATTGATAACACTATATTGATAGCCTTTAGGAATATGTCAACAAACAAACATTGAAATTGCTAGGGCATATCCTTTTCCAACTCTTGGATGCAGGCAGAAGTTTTGCTTCACATGTGTTGGCCATTTGATGACTTGACTTGCGGACACTTCTGTACAACTTATCTGCCCTTTAAAAACATTTATGACTTATCTAAAGATCTGGAACTCCATCATGCAGGAACCTTGTGAAAATGTAGTTTGTTTGAACTCAGCACTGATTTCAAATGGCCCTGTTGATTTCAATCTTCCCATATTTGGAGTTATGTCCTGTTCCCATTCCTTCTCCTCAACTACACACAATCCCATCCTGACTAAAATAAGATCTTCCTGAAATGAGGGGTGGGACTTTAGGACCTCCACCAGTTTGGAAAGAACTGTCCCAGTGGTTTTTGTTTTGTTTGATATTTCCAGAATTCATAGCAGTTTGTTTTTAATTTTAGTTTAAACAGGATTTAATTTTAGTTCAAACAAGATTTTCATTTATTTCCTTAATGTATTTTGTAACTATTTTCATTTTTAAAACATAAGGTGTTCGTAATGACGACAGCTGTGTTTTTTTTAAGGTTTCAACTGTTCGATCTTCATGGCCCAGTAGATCTCTGTCATTAGTGACTTCTGGTGGGACCATTGAATCAATTAACCTGGATGCTGTTCCACAGTCTGTGAGCCGCCTGGACAACACTGCTGCGAAACATAAACTTTCTGTCAAGCCAAGAAATCAAAGGATCTCAAAGAAACATGGGAGACTTGCACAGGTACATGTACTGTTAATTGTGAGAATTTTGTATGTTTTTGTTCTTCATTTTGGAACAGTTTTCAAACGCCACATGACCCATGTGATATAATATCAGTGAGATAACAGTTCAAGCTCTAAAAGAAAATCACATATTTTTATATGCTCTGAAATATTGTTTGAACTGGACAATTAAACTATTAATTCTTACAGTACTTATATATTAAGCAGTTGCATAGAACTATAACAGAACTTGCTGGAAAAGCTCAGCAGGTCTGGCAACATCTGTGAATAGAAACCAGAGTTAACATCTTGAGTCCAGTGACTCTTCCTAGGAATTGATGGTGGCTAGGAAAATGTGGGTTTTTATGCAGAAGATAGGATGGGGGGAGGAGGGAAGAAGTAAACGATAGGTGGGGATAGAACCCAAAGAGAGAGAAAAAAACAGTTGGACAGACAAAGGAGTGGATAACAATCTGGATAGGAGAGTGAATAGCTGTTAATGGAGACTGTTAGTGGCTAACAATGTGTTGTGTGTAATAGCAGACTATGTGACTGCAAGGCCTAGTGTATGGGGGTGGGGGCTAGGACACAGGAGAGTTCAAGCCCGAAAGTTATTAAAGTTGGTATTAAAACCAGAAGGCTGCAGGGTCCCCAAGCAGAAAATGAGATATTGTTCTCCAAGCTTGTTCCAACCTTTGCTGGAGCATTGCAGCAAGCGTGAGACAGAGGTATTGGCCAGGGAACAGGGTGGTGTGTTGAAGTAGCAGGTGACTGGAAGCTCAGGGCCATTTTTGCGGGTGGAATGTAGGGGTTCTGTGAAGTAGTCACCCAGACTGTGCTTCGTTTCCCCAACGTAGAAGAGACCACATTGTGAGCAGTGAATGCAGTAGACTAGATTGTGTGAAGTGTAGCATAGAACCATAGATATTTATAACACAGAAGGTAATCATTTGGCCCATGTGTCTCTACTGGCTTTATGAGAGGATTATCCAAAACCATTGCTTGCCTTACACCAGAATCCCGTACCCTCCTCTGCTTCAAATACTTAACCCATTTGCCTTAACACAATTGTTTCTGCCTCAACCATTCCCAGTGGCAAAGTATTACAATCTCCAATAGCCATATCTAAGGAAATCTTTCCTACCCACATCCTTGCCCTCATACTACTAACTCATTATTAATTATTAATAATTCACCAACCAGTGGAAATAATCTTTCCCTGTTTGCTCTATCTATACCTTTATAATTTACACTTTTTCTTATCCTTGTTGCTCTTGCATTTGTCCTTAAACATAAACATAGAAACATTGAAAATAGAAGCAGGAGTAGGCTATTCCACCATTGAATATGATCAGGGCTGATCATTCAACTCAGCATCCTGTTCCTGCTTCCACCCTAAATCCTTTGATCACTTTGGCCCTAGAAACTACATCTAGCTCCTTCTTGAAAACATTCAATGTTTTGGCCTCAACCACTTTCTGTGGCAGAGAATTCCACGGGCTGGGTGAAGAACTTTCTCCTCAACTCAGTCTTAATTGGCCAACCCCGTATCCTTAGACTGTGACCTCTGGTTCTGGACTCCCTGGTCATCGGGAACATCCTGCCTTTCTGTCCAGTCTTGCTGGAATTGACATGCTGGCAGCGCACTCCTCATAAGGGCTTGGCCACCCCTGCTTTGGGCTTGACCTTGTCCCCACCGCCCCAGACTGCCCACTCTCGTCACCTTGTTGCCTGTTGGTGTTCCCACTGCCCCATCAGCCTGTCTGCTGCGCCCCTCATGCTGGCCACCTCGGGCCGCCTGATCCTGCTGATGTTGCTTTCTTTCGCTGTTGCTGCTGAAAAGAAGAAAAAGATGAAGATGAAAGAGAAAAGAAGAAAGGAAGGAGAAAGAAGGATGCGCCAGCCTGGTGCTGGGGAGCGGATGTGCTCAGGAGCCAGAACGCCGCCAACTCCTGCCGCTGCCCCCATCTTATATCTAGCAGGATGACATGTGACCAGGGTAAGGAGGATGATATGTGAGTACAGTGAGCAGGATGATATGTGAGCGCGGTGACATGTGTTGAGCCTTTGCTCATGGATTGATCTATCACTAAGTTATCACCGTTGCTCGAAGAAGTGCTGAATTGTCACAATGGTGCAGAGGGCTTTATCTTTTGAGGCTAAGATTAAGATAATTCATATTTAAATTATTATTGCAGAAATGTGCAAATTATTTTAAAATGTTTGAAATGAATTATCATCTTTGCAACTTTTAGGAAATGCGGAGCGCGACGATCCATGAATTTGACTTTGCACTGGAAGAGAAGGAGACGATTTGTGTTGTGAAGGACCTAAAACATTACAAAATAGAAGAGGGAAAAGGACAAGGAGAGAAAAACCATCTTAAAGGTGGGAAGGAAATATGCAGAGATGAAACAAAGGTGCTCAATAGGCAGGAGGCAGAACAAAGCCATTCTGAGTTGGAGGGGCAAAAGAGATGGGAAGACAACCAACAGGAAACTGAAGAACAAATAATGCAAGAAGAAGATCAGATACATTATGAAATGGAAAAGCAGAAACTAAATGAGGAAGAATTAAATAGGGAAGAACAGAAATGTGGTGAATTAGAGGAGCAGAAAGCACATGAGAAAGAACAAAAGTTTTATGAAGTGGAGAAGCAAGGAATACACGAGGAGGACCAAAAATGTTGTGAAATGGAGAAACAGAAGTTATATGAGGAAGAACTGAAATTTCACAAATTGGAAGACCAGAAATTACATAAAGAAGAAGCGATAGGTGAAACAGAGGACGACCCACCATTTGAGGAAGAGCAAAACTATGAAGTAAAAGAGCAAAAGTTGGATGAGGAAGAAGAAAAATGTGAACCGAAGGAGCAGAAATTATATGAGGATAAAAAAAGATACGATGAAATGGACAAACTGAAAAGTGATGCAGAAAAGCAACATCATGAGTTGATGGAGCTGGAAATGAAAAAAGAGGAACAAAAATGTTTTGAGGTAGAAGGTCTGAGGAAAGAAGACCTACATTTCCATGCTACTGAAAACAACCAATTGACTGAAGAGCAAAGAAAACACAGTTTGGAAGAACAGAGACAACAGAAAGAAACAGAAAGACAGCATGATTTGAAGAAACAACAAAGGGAAGAACAGAGTCAAAAGGATGTTGAGCTGTTAAATCAAGAAACGCAACAACTCATTGAGACACAAGAAGAGGAGCAACGCAGAGGGGAACTTAGATGGAAGGAGGTAGACCAAAGACAAAGAATGTCGAGTCCATTTTCATTCCAAGTTTCTTCAGGAGAAAAGCAAATCATTTTTCAGAAAGTTAATCTGACCCCTGTGACCCATCCAAGAGAAGCTGTTTCTTCTTTAGATGTGAATGAGTTACAGGCCTCTACAAAATCAAGTAACGGCCTTTCATCTTCAATTTATGTTCCTCATACTGCCATTTTGGTTACAGGAGCACAGCTTTGTGGTACAGCCGTTGATCTGAAACAGATCAAAGACACAGCTTGCAAGACTTTGCTTGGTTTTTCAGAAGAGAGAAAAACTGTTGATTTACCACCTGTTGAAAAGCCATCTAAATCCAATCAGGGTGCCAGAAGTAGAATTGGTAAATCCAAATTCAATCCAGAACCATCATTCGAGCAGGCAAGATCATCAACTTTAACTGAGTGGGCTACCATTAGGGCTAAAATACTTAAAAGTTCAGATGAAAGGTTTCAAGAAAGAAGAGTACATGGGAGATTTAGTGATGACTGGACTACCTTCAGAGCTTCCAGTATGCATAGCAGCTTGAGAAAAACTTTATCTGCGAATGCAAAATTCTCCATAACACCTGCATGGCAGAAATGGGCAGATGGCAATAAGATCAACAATTCTGAGAAAATGAATGTCTCGCACAAAGCAGAGAAACAAACTACACCAGAGGAAACTGTATTTGCACATAATCGCGCATTGGATTTTTCTGAACCTAGTGGGCCATTGACGTCCGAAAACATTGCACAAGATGCAACCAAAGACACACAAGATGACTCACACTCAGATAATCACAATATTAAGATAGAGGATGTTGCCGAAGGTTACAAGTTTGCCAAAGATCTTCCATCGTTTCTAGTTCCAAGTCTTCCTGCTGTGCAAAGGAAAGAGCATTCACTCCCGCAAGCTCAACCTCCAGTTATTAACCAAGCTGCTACCAATGTGATCACACAAACTGAAGGTGCAATGGATACATCCCCATTTGGTATAAAATTACGGAGGACCCACTATTCCCTTCGGTTCCACTATGAACAGCAAGGAGAACAAAAACGGAAGAAACGATATAGTGCTGGAGACAGTATGGAAGGAATTCCAGTACTCCTGGCCTCAAAAGAAAAAGAAGGTGAATCATACACTGTTTCTGGTAAGCAATTCTCTTATAACAAAGATAATAAGGTTAGTAACATTTTGAAAGACAGCTCAAATAGCATTTCAGACATTTCACAGACTGGGATTACGCATCTAAGTAGTATTGACGTGGCAAAACATGTTAAAAATAAACTTGCCACACGTTCAAATGAGAAAGTTTCATCAAGGCCACAACCATCTCCGAAACCTGCTTTAGCACCCAAGCCTATACGGTTCACTCCACCTCCGTCCCCTCACAATACCTTAAACAAGAGCGCAGATCATAAAAACACAAAGAATCCACTTGATTCAAATGTGAGAAAAGAAGACGGGAAGAATGACACCTCAGTCCAACCATACAGATTAAGGAATGAAGAAGTGGAAACAAAGGATATAAAATCTTTTTTCCCATCCATCAACATTCCATGGCGAGAGAGGGCAGACAAAAAGTCAGACTCCATTAAGAAAGGTAGGCAAAGTGTAAAGTATCTGTAGGTACTTTGGTTTCAGTGTGCTTCACTATATATTGGTCATGAACTTTATTGTCTATTCACTCATGGTTTGTGGGCATCGTTGACTGGGCCAGTTTCTTGTTGCCCTTGAGAAGGTGGTGATGAGCCTCCTTCTCCAAACCTCTGCAGTGCACGTCCTGTGGCTTGACCCACAATGTCCTTTGGTAGCAATTTCTAGGATTTTGTCCCAATGACACTAAAGGATTGGTGATATATTTCCAAATCAGGATGTTGTGTGGCTTTATGGGGAACTTGCAGGTGGTGGTATTTCCAGGTATTTGCTGCATTTGTCCTTCAAAATGTAAGTGGTTGTGGGTTTGGAAGGTACAGACGTAAGGGTCTTTGGTGAATTTTAGATGAACTTCAATTCTTCAGGAGCACTGTAAAGTAAAAATAAATAAAGTTTTGTATTTATGTAGCACTCTTGCAACTGCACAAAGTGTTTTGCAGCCAATAGAATATTACAAGAATGCAGTCACCATTGTCGGAAACTGCAATTTGCACACAACTTCTACCAACATCCATGTGATAATGACCAAATGGTCTCTTTATAGGTTTTGGTTGATGGTTATCTTGAAATTGTGACTTAAGTCTTTATTTCAAAGGGAATGGAGTATAGAAGTGTGGAGGTTTTGCTAAAATTATACAAGACGCTAGCCTGACTACAGCTGGAATACTGAGAACAGTTTTGGGCCCCTATTTCAGGAAAGCATGCTGGCATTGGAGGCAGTCCAGAGAAAGTTCACTAGCCTGATCCTGGGTATGGAGGGATTGTCTTTTGAGGAAATATTGAGTAGGGTTGGCCTGTACTCACCAGAGCTTAGAAAGATGAGAGGAGACCTTATTGAAACATGCAAGATTCTTTGGGGGCTTGATAGGCTAGATCCTGGGAGTTTCTTTCATCTTGAGGGAGAGTCTAGGACCAGATGGCATAACCATAAGGGGGTCATCCAGTAAGGATAGAGATGAGGTAAAATTTCTTCTGTCAGTGGGTAGTGAATGTGTGCCATTCTTTACCTCAGAGGGCTGCCCTTCAGTAAATTCAAGGCTGAGATATACAGATTTTAAATCAGTTACAGAATCAAAGATGATGGAGAAAATTCAGGAAAGTGGAGTTGAGGATTATCAGATCAGCCATGATTTCATCAAACGGCAGAATAGACTCGACGGGCCGAACGGCTACTTCTGTTCCTACATCCTATCACCTTAAGATGTTTCACATCCATCCAAAACATAAATGGGACCTTGGTTTAACATCATTTCCAATGGATGGCACCACTCATTGTATTGAATTCCCTCAGTACCACTGGAGTATAAGCTTAGATATTGTGTTCAACTTCCTGAATTGAACCTTTAACCTTTGGATTCAAAAGTCCAAGTGCTATCAGCTTAGCACAGCTGATTTTCTCACTGTAACTTATCATTCAGCAATCCCTAACAGACTTTCTAGACCAAATTCATGACAGTAAAGTTAAAATGTTTTCTGAAAAGAAAACAAAGATTAAAGAACGAGTATCGATCTTAGAAAAACTGTTCATTAACAGCATTCATGGTGAGATACAACCCTGACATTCAGCCCAAGATGTTATCATTCTGACAAATCACTACAGAACAGTTAATTGCAGTAACATGGGTGATTAGCCAAGTTGTTTTTGTTGGAGTTCTGTATCGACCTGTACAACTTTTCCCCGGGGGTAATCTGTATAGGTGCTTGGAACCTGCTGTAGTCTTTCTATTCAGGGTTTGTCAAACATACTGTTGATTAATGAAGGGGAATGGAAAAGGCAAATCGGAGATTTAGCCTTCTTAGGTATCAAGAAGACCTAAGGTATGTTGGGTTACATCACTAAGTTAACAGAATATAAAATCCATTAAATTAAATGATCTTATTTGAATTGTTCTGATCTTGATGTTCCATCACAGAAAAGATACACCAGCCTGAGTGGAGTCCAGTGACATTTCACCAAGATGGCCTAAGGATATGAAAGAGTCCCTAGATGTTGGGTTGTTAGTAGGTGAATTCATCGAGATGTTTAAAGAGAAACTGCTACAATGCTTCAATATATTTTAAATGATTAATATACCCAACATAGTTTCCCTTAGATAACAAGGTGTAGAGCTGGATGAACACAGCAGGCGAAGCAGCATCAGA